CAAACCTGACTGCCCTGGTTGACCCATTGTCTCCGCCTGCTCCTGCCCCACCGAACTTATCTCCACCTATCTCGACTCCATTTTCTCCCCCTTGGTCCAGGAACTCCCTACCTACGTCTGTGACACCACCCACACCCTCCACCTCCTCCAGAACTTCTAATTCCCCGGTCCCCAGCACCTCATCTTTACCATGGACATCCAGTCCCTATACACCTGCATTCCCCAGACAGATGGCCTAAAGGCCCTCCGCTTCTTCCTGTCCCGCAGGCCCGACCAGTCCCCCTCCATTGACACCCTCAGCCGCTTAGCCGAACTTGTCCTCACCCTCAACAACTTCTCTTTCAATTCCTCCCACTTCCTACAGACATAGGGGGTGGCCATGGGTACCCGCATGGGCCCGAGCTATGCCTGCCTCTTTGTAGGTTACGCGGAACAATCCCTCTTCCGTACCTACACTGGCCCTAAACCCCACCTCTTCCTCCGTTACACTGATGACTGTATCCGCGCCGCCTCGTGCTCCCACGAGGAATAGTTCATCCACTTCACCAACACCTTCCACCCTAACCTTAAGTTCACCTGGACCATCTCTAATACCTCTCTCTCCTTCCTGGACCTCTCTGTCTCCATCTCTGGCAACCACCTAGAAACCGATATCCATTTCAAGGCCACCGACTCCCACAGCTACCTAGAATACACCTCCTCCCACCCACCTTCCTGCAAAAATGCCATCCCCTATTCCCAATTCCTTCGCCTCTGCCGCATCTGCTCCCAGGATGAGGCATTCCACTCCTGTACATCTCAGATGTCCTCGTTTTTCAAGGCCCGCAACTTCCCCCTCCCCTGAGTGGTCGAGAATGCCCTCGACCGTGTCTCCTGCATTTCCCGCAACTCATCCCTCACACCCCGTCCCCGCAATAATAACCAAAACAGAATCCCCCCTCGTCCTCACGTACCACCCCACCAACCTCCGGATCCAACGCATCATCCTCTGACACTTCCACCATCTGCAATCCGACCCCACCACCAAAGGCACTTTTCCCTCCCCACCCTTATCTGCTTTCAGGAGGGACCACTCTCTCCGTGACTCCTTTGTCCGCTCCACACTCCCCTCCAGCCCCACCACACCTGGCACTTTTCCCTGCAACCGCAGGAAGTGCTATACCTGCCTCTACACCTCCCCCCTCACCCCCATCCCAGGCCCCAAGAAGACTTTCCACATCAAGCAGATGTTCACCTGCACATCTGCTAATGTGGTATACTGCATCTGCTGTTCCCGTTGTGGCCTTCTCTACATCGGGGAAACCAAGCGGAGGCTTGGGGACGGCTTTGCAGAACACCTACGCTCGGTTCACACTAAACAACTGCACCTCCCAGTCGCGAACCATTTCAACTCCCCCTCCCATTCCTCAGACAACATGTCCATCCTGGGCCTCCTGCAGTCCACAACGATGCTACCCGAAGGTTGCAGGAACAGCAACTCATATTCCACTTGGGAACCCTGCAGCCCAATGGTATCAATGTGGACCACTGGGTGTTGACCTAGGCACCAGAAAACCCCTCTCTGTTAATCCTACAAAGCCCTTCTTTCTAACATTGAGGAGCTTCCCCTAAAATAAGAGAGCTGTCTCACAGACTAGATGATGTAGTCATAGCTTACCAACAACATCTAAGACATGACCATCACAATTCCTGAACATGTCCTGTGGCAGTACAGTCAGGAGGGAATTGCCCTGGGAATCAACAACTCTGGACTCCATGAGGTCTCATGGCATCAGGTCAAATATGAGGAGGAAAACCTGCTCCTGATTAACACTTTGTACTCCTTCATGCTCAACACCACTTGGAGGAAACACTGAAGGTGGCAAGGGCACAGAATGCACTACATGTGGATGACTTCAATGTCATTCACCAAGAGTAGCTTGGTAACACCAAGCTGACAAATTTTGCTGAGTCATAAAAAAAAACATATGTTGGGCTAGCAGCAAGTGGTGAAGGGACCAACTAGAGGGAAGATCTGTACATCTTTTCAACCAGCTCTCTTTGCTCCTCTACCCCAATGTCCTAATAGAAGGAAACATTCTTACCTCCCCTTACTTGATCTAATATGGCCTACATATTGTCTTTCAAAGTTCTTCCTATCAAAATGCCTCACCTTACACTTTTCTGCATTAAAACTCATTTGCCATCTACTTGAAGTGAGTTTACAATTTTAAGAACATCACTCTTTGAGAAAATAAGCAGCTGAAATATTAACCACCAACAAAAACAGTTGCAGCTGTGGATACCTCCACTGGAGAACATGCCAAGGCTCTCCCAGCAGAACTAGCCTATGTCAATGGGAATCGTGTTGATTTTTTTCTTTGCTTGCTATAGCAATCCTATCAGACCAGTTACCATTGCCAAAGAAATACATGTTAAATCCTACAGAGTTAAGGACTGCATTAAATGAATTAGTGGAATTAATGTCAGAATGATGCAAGTCTTACTACAAAGGAAATGCACATAAGGTAATTGAAAATGAGTATTATTTGCAATCAAAAATCTTCACTTTTGAGCCAGCACATACGTATCAACGTCATATCATCAGAAGAGTTGGAGATCGATAACCTTAACTGGTCCAATATCAAACAGCTATTGAAACATTGGTCTGTGAACAAACCTTCACTGCCATTCAGTCAAGGCACGATTGGAAGAGGACATAATTAGGCTTCCCAGATTGGTTGTGGAGCTCAAACCAGAAGAAATATTCAAGTGAGAGCACTTACATTAGCATAAAAGAGCTGTTTAACATTGACAACATAGAGGAAGTCATAAACTTCACAGGACAGGTGGAAATGTTCAATCCTCGAGTTTCTAAAACAGAAGTTATTGACAATGACAGATGGTGCTGAGGGAGCAGCAATTTTTCAGTAGCATGACTGTGCATTTGAAAAGTCTCTTTGCCAGTCAAACAATAACAATGAATGACTGAAGATGCCTAGCCTGAACAACAAAATGAGGGAGATATACTACATATGACTTCATAGGAGCTAAACTAACATCCACACTTCAAGGTATGATCAAGATGAAGAAAATGCCTGACCTAAGCATCTAGGATACTGAAATAAATAACTACCTCTTCCAAATAGAAGCTTACCTGGAATTCAGGATACTAAAAGGAAGAAAGTAATATTTCAACAGAGCAGCTTCCAGGAAGGAAATTTCAAAGACCAAGTATCCTCCAGATAAAGTAATGGAGGAACAAAGTCTGCGATGAACAGTGTTCTCTACGAAAGATATCTGAGATTAAAGATCCTTCAGCAGTGGGAAGATAGTGACATAGTGGTAATTTCACTGTACTAATAATCCATAATACCATCTCTGTGGGCAGGAATTCAAATCCTACCATGGCAGCTGACAAAATTTGATTTCAACAAATATTTTGAATTTAAAGAATTAAAACCTAATGGTAAGCATGTAACCACTGTCAATTACTACAAAAACATATTTAGTTAACTAAACTAATGCCCTTTGGGGAAGAAGTCTGCCATCATTACTTCTTGTAGTCTACGTGTGACTCTGGTTCCACTGCAACATAGTTGATTCTTAACTGTCCCCTCAGCAATTAGGTTTGGGCAATAAACATTGGTTCAGCCAGTGGCACTCACATTCCACAAAGAACTTAAGATTCACAGATCACAAGTCCTCAAACAAGAGCTCTAATATTTTTCCAGGTTCAAACTCTGAGAAAAGTATGAAACATCAGAGACTTGTGGGGAGATGGCATAATGCTAAACATAATGTAGTTATTCACGTATTTCTAATATAGGCTAACTATAAGGTAACAAAAGTTTGGGGGAAGATATACAAGCTCAGGATTCTGAAGGAGCTAATGCTTATTACATTAACTCCACCCATTCTAATGTCAAACACAACTCAAATGGTAGCAGAGATAACAAGGTGTAGAGCTGGATGAACACAGCAGGCCAAGCAGCATCATAGGAGCAGGAAGGCTGACGTTTCGGGCCTAGATCCTTCTTCAGAAATCTGATGAAGGGTCTAGGCCCGAAAAGTCAGCCTTCCTGCTCCTATGATGCTGCTTGGCCTGCTGTGTTCATCCAGCTCTACACCTTGTTATCTCGGATTCTCCAGCATCTGCAGTTCCTACTATCTCAAATGGTAGCAGATGTTTCCTTACTAGCTCTCTAAGATTCAACTAATTATGCCTGATCAAATGCAGTTACACTTACTGCTATCATAAACCATCTTCTTATCGAAGAAAAGTACTCCTTCTGTATATACTCTACAGTGGTGTATCCTCTACCACTAATCACGAGATTCGCCGTTCAAAATAGAAACAAAGGAGGATTGTTGGCAATAAACTACCTATACATCGGTAGAGGTGACGAGTATTTGTCGTCAATCTGGAAAATATAACACCTAACATCACTGCGGGTGTACCTACACAACACAGATTGCAATAGATCAAGAAGGCAACTCATCTAAAGGGCAATTCGGGATGGACAACAAATACTAACCTCCAGTGCTACCCACTTCCGTCAAACCAAAAAAAGGTGTCATACGTGAAAATAGCAAACGGGATCTTCACCTAATTCACCAGCTCGAAAATGCTTAATCATCACAACTTCCCATCCGGAGGGCGGCATTAAAGAGGTGAGGTGCAGAGCTCCCTCATCAATGTATTGCAGAATCAATATTAACCATTCTTCTTACTAACATACATTCAATTACTGATGGTGAAGAAACAGTGCTCTCACGAAACCAAACGAATGTCTGAGACTTATTGGAAATAGAGAAACAAATAAGAAATACGATCTCAACTCAACCCCACCTAAAACAAAAACTACCACAATCGTTTCGAAACAACACCTTCAACTTTAGCTTTCCGCGATATCACTCTCCATTTTTACCTCAGCCCGCCAGCGTCACGGCACGGCGCACGTCACGTTACGTCTCGCGCGTGATAGACGTCATCGCGCAGGGGAAAGCCAGCAGTTGACGCAGGCGTCCTGAATAACATCCGGGCTTGGTAGGATGAATCCTAAATTACAACATGGCGACCGAGGGAGGAGGGAAGGAGATGAACGAAATCAAAACTCAGTTTACTACCAGGGAAGGTGTTTATAAAGTGTTAACCCACTCCGAATACAGCCGGCCGAACAGGGTGCCTTTTAATTCTCAAGGATCCAATCCAGTCAAGGTGTCATTCGTAAATGTGAACGACCAGTCCGGCAATGGGGATAGAATCTGCTTTAATGTGGGCCGGGAGTTGTACTTTTACATTTACAAAGGCGTAAGGAAGGTAAACATCAGGTTGTTTTGCCTTTTTTGGGGGCTGGTGGTGGTGATAAGGAAAGCAAACGGAGAGCCTAGGCCTTTTAAAACAGTACAATTTACACATCGGTCTGCTGTATCTAGTTGCCGATCAGTTGTTATTGCGGGTTTTGAGGGTGGGAACTCACCCGTTGGCTCTCTTGTCACCTCTACCCCAGCCTTCAAGCAATTATGCAAGTCGCGTTCAGTTTGCAAGCACGTTAGGATAAGTACAATGGATTTATAAATGAGGATTTATAAGGGATTGGAATCTTTACAGTGAAGATAGTTCATTTTGCGTACTCACTTTTACGAATATTACATTTCGTCAAGCATTTTGGTACCAACGCATGAAGATAACTATTAAAAACTGTTCGTGTAATTTAGCTTAATATTTTCGAATATTTTGAAGGATTGCAGTTTTTTTCTTAAAAATAATGGGATTAAAATTCAAAACGTCCTGTGATTTCTTTTATTTTGAAACTTTATCGAAATAAAATATTACTAACTTAAGATTTTTTAAAATGCAGCTCTTGAAGATATTTTTGGGGGAGTGGTCAGGAAGGTTAGTAGATGTGACTGGCAGATCTGTCTGTCTTAAGGCATGACCCCTTTTTTAAAGGGTATCAGTATGATTCCTGTGGTTTTCCAAAGGTGGTCTGGCCTCATGAGACTCAGATCTTTATAGATATTGCAGTTATTTGCTTGATGCATAGGGTTGTGCAACACCAGTGATGCACCATGTACTTTTGCTAATTTATAGGGTTCAAATGCTCTAGTCTAAGGTCCATCTGCAGCTGTTTGTTTTTTTGATTAATGATATGTATGCACAGAATATAATTAACATACCAGACAGTGAAATGAAGAAACAATTAGCCACTTCTTTACGTGCACCTCTTTTGTTTCAAAGTAAGATTTACTGATGTAAACAAATGGGCAAGGCAGGCACTAGCAATAAGAAGCACAGGGAAATTGGAGAGTGGGAAATAATGGGTATGGGGAGCCTTTCTTGAGGGAACAAATATTTGAACCAAGTTTGAAATTTTATTAATTTTTCTTATGCATGTTGGAGAAAACAACCCAGAGGAAAAAAATTACATTACTGTGTTACTTAATATCAAAAATAATGAGAAAGGTTGAAACACTTCATCGTTTAGACTGAACACAACATCCTTGCAGGAGGGCAGCTCACTTAGCTACATCCAGAAAGTTCAGGTGCAGACTTACAAAGCTGAGGTGTAAGAATTGCCCCCACACCTCACCTCCACTTCAGTGAACAGTGGAGTTGAGTCAGCATGAACTAAAGGGAAGCTCCATTTCTTCAAATTCCTCTGTAGATTAGTTTGGAGGCTTGGACTTAGAATAGTGATAAGTTTCTTTGCATGTCGGGCACCTTGTTAACTAAATGAAAGCTGCTAAAAAATGGGCAAGAATAATCTTGGGTAACAGATTTCCTCCCACGTTGTTTGAAAGCACTCCTGTCTGCTTATCCAAAACCTAGTGAACAAGCTTTTTTTTTAAATTTAAAACCCATTCTGTAAGATTGCTACTAAATTATTTAACTAATTCTGATTACAAAGCAAAATGACTGTTGCAGAACTACCGACTGAATCAGAAAGTTGTGGGTTAAAATGGCTTCTTAGAACTTGAACACTTATTTAAGAACAAAGAAAATTACAGCACAGGAACAGGCCCTTCTGCCCTCCAAGCCTGCACCGACATGCTGCCTGTCACAACTAAAACCCCCTACCCTTCTGGGGACTGTGCCCCTCTACTCCCATTTATTCATGTATTTGTCAAGACGCCCTTTAAAAGTCACTATTGTATTTGCCTCCACTACCAATCCCAGTCGCAAGTTCCAGGCACCCACCACCCTCTGTGTTTTAAAAAAAAAAAAATGCCTCATACATCACCTTTAAACCTTGCTCCTTGCACCCTAAACCTAAGGTCCCTAGTAACTGATTCTTCCAACCTGGGAAAAAGCTTCTGACTGTCCACGCCCTTTGTAATCTTGTAGACTTCTGTCAGGTCACTCCTCAACCTCCATCGTTCCAGTGAGAACAACCCAAGTTTCTCCAACCTCTCCTCACAGCTAATGCCCTCCATACCAGGCAATATCCTGGTATATCTTTTCTGTAACCTCTCCAAATCCACCACGTCCTTCTGGTAGTGTGACGACCAGAATTGAACACAGTATTCCAAATACAGACGAACTAAGGTTCTATAAATGTTCTTTAAACTCAGTGCCCTGACCGATGAATGCAAGCATGCCATATGCCTTGTTGACTACCTTCTCCACCTGCATTGCCACTTTCAGTGACCTGTGTACCTGTACACCCAGATCTCTCTGCCTATCAGTACTGTTAAAGGTTCTGCCATTTACAGTATATTTTCCATCTGAATTAGACCTTCTAAAATTAAGTTAACATTTTAATAAAATACTGAGGGAGAAGTGCTATCTTTAGGATGAAACATTAAATTGTGGCTCAGTTTTACCGGGCCAGTAGTTTAGCTGGATATTAGTTTTCAATGGCGCTACTCAGAGAGCAGGGAATCCGTCAGGTGTCTGACAGACACCCCTCCCTCAGGCAGCACCATCACAAACAGTAACTAGCATTCGTCCTATTGCAGTTTGTGGGAGCTTGCTATGTGTAAATTGGCTGTCTAAAGTAATTGCCTAAAACTGCACTTCAAAGTAGCTTTGTCATTGTAAAGACCTTTAAGATTTCTGAGAAGCATAAGAAAAGTCTGTGCTGCTTTGGTAAAATATTCTCATACAGTAGCAAAAAAAACTGACTATTAATAGCCTTTGTGGTAATTGTAAATAATCTAATGTATCTTAGTTATACCGCACAGAAGTAGACCCTTCAGTCCAACTCCCCTATGCCACCCAGGTACCCTAAACTGATCTAGCTCTGTTTCCCAGCATTTGGCCCATATCCTTCCAAACCCGTCCTAATCATGTCCCCATCTAGATATCTTTTAAATATTGTAAATGTACCCCCTTCCACCATTTCCTCTGGCAGCTTGTTCCATACCTGCATCACCCTCTGTGTGAAAAGTTGTCCCTCCGGTTCCTTTTAACTTTTTCCTGCTCACCTTAAACCTATGCCGTCTAGTTTTGGACTCCCCCACCGTGGAGGGAAAAATGTGAAGCAAAGGTTTTTGAGATAATGTCAAGCTTTATTGTAAACATTTTTCTATTAAACATTTAGCTGAAGGTCCAAAGTTTAAGATATTAATGTTGGAAATACTTTCAGAAACTTGAAGAAATGTAATTTGACTGGTTTGGTTTTGTGGTTTCAGTAGAATATTGTTTTATACTTGTCTTAATCAAATTAATATTGAGAATATGTGCCAGACAGTGATCATATGCTGACAAGCAAGAATCTAACCATGTCCTCGTGACATTCAGTGGCATTACCATCGCTAAATCCCCTCTGTCCACACCCTGAGTATTACATTTGATCAGAAATTGGACTAGATCAACAATACAAAATAGAAGAGCAATCAGTGTCTTCAAATTATTTGCTACATAATTCTTTCTCATTCCTCAATGTCTGGCTCAAGCCAGGTCTATGATGGGTTACTCAGCACTTCCCTGGGTGAATGCAGTCCCAAAATGGTCAAGAACCAACCAGGATTAAATAGCCTGTTTGACACCCTGTCTACCACCTTTTCCACCATGGGTGCATTGTGGCAGCTGTGTTTACTGTCTGGAAGAGGCACTGCAGCAACTTGCTGAGGCACCTTCAGCAGCACTTACACTTATCTGCATTTTGCAATATAGAAGAATAACAGATGAATGGGAACATCACCACCTGCCAGTTTCCCTACAATTACATACCATCATGAATTTGAACTATATTGTAATCCTTTCACTGTAGTCAGGATCCTGGAACTGCTTCACAAATGGCATGAGTGTACTTACGCTAGCAGTTCAATGACTCGCCGTCATCATCTTGATGGCAATTAAGGATGCATAAATATTACTGACCTTGTGAATGAAAGAAAATACTGTAAGATTTAGAATGCAGTAGACACTTATCATGTAGCTAAATTTCTGTAAGATTATCTAAAATTGCCAAGTGCTTATCAGGTTTTTGTTTAATTTGGAAGTGTTTTTTTGCTGTATCAATGAACTTTTGTCAGAAGGTATTTTGATGTCACTAAAATATCTGTTTTTGAAAAGGATTCTTTCCAAAATTTGGGATATGTTCTTTAGTTTAGGATTTGGATGGATTACGTTCAAGATATGTTGGAAATGTCACTTAGAGGAAGGTACAATTTATTAAAACTTCTGGCCTGCAGATTTGCCTTATGCCTTCATAAGGAGAGGTATTTGGTTAGAAATGCAATGGTTTAGACATTAGTCATCATCACTGCACTTAAGTTAAATGCAGTCTAGATTGATGAAATGATAATCTTACCTACTGCCTATTAAAAACTTTATGAAATGAATTTGGTGATCTTGAGCTAGATCTTCCTAAACATGTACTTGCTTGTATTACAGAACTGCCTTCTAATTAGCAATCTTATTAATGACTTATTAATATGTAAATTTAGATTATTTGTGGGGATATGTTACAGCTGAATGTGAATTTGCTTTTGTCTGTATCTATGCATGTCTGACTTTCAGCAGGGATTACAGAATTCTAATCAAGAGTGGGGGCACTTGCCATTTCCTGCACCCCCCACCCAGATGCAGTGAGGCCAGGTAAATGAGCCTGGAAGCAGAGAGAACTTTGAGCAATACAGTGTATATCAGTATGATTCTTCAATTATATTACTTAACACAAGCTTTTTTTTAAAAAAAAAAAAGTCTGGCACATAATTTTCTGTCATTGCCACTCTTCTTGCATTGTTAGAATTAATCTCTGCCATCGCCCATAATTTTGTGATTTGAACCCTATGAGATCATGCAATAGCAGTACTGGAAAGCCCATGAATTTTGTTTGGTAGGAAAGAGGGCTTGGATCAGCTGTATTTGTTGGGTTATCTGTTTTGAGTATCTTTAGTATCATACATAAGTGAGAGAAGTTGCAATTGTTTGGCTTTTTTCTAAATTTGCTTATGCATGACTGTAGGTCTCCTGAGATTTCAGTTTTTTCCTCTACAGTTATAAAAATAACTGAGCATTTATATGGCACCTGTCATGACCATTGAATTATTTTACAGCCAATGAAGTACTTCTGACTTGTAATCACCGTGAAATATAGAAAACGCTGTAACAATATCCCAGAAACAGCAATGTGATAATGACCGCATGATCTGCCAGGAAGGGAGTGGGGCTTATAAGAATGGGAAAAGGGATGTATGATTGAATTAGGCAGGAGCTGGAATGCCAATTTCTCAACATTGGGTTGAGATGCAGGGATGAAGTCAGCATTGTGATTATGGCATATTGGGCCTCAAGTTGGTGTGTTGTCAGTTCTCAATTATCATATTTGCCTGATTTCAATACTCATTGTGTTAACACTTCTTGTAATTATGTTCTACCCTCAAGATAAAGATGGGGAACTTGTGGCACCTGGTTTACGTTTACTTTAAAGATGGCATGCAACAGTCAGCTTTGTGTAGATCTCTCTCACATCAGCAGCTTTCCTTGTTGAACTCCAGCGTACAAAGGAGAGGATCAGGAAAATGGGAGCTTTCATGTGGGTATGAGGCTGGCAAGGGTTAATCAGTGGTGAGGGGGAGATTTACATGGAAGTATGGTTTTGGAGTCAGAGTGGAATTGAAGAGAGGAAAGATGATGGGTTGGTGGACTGGAAGAGGTGGCAATTTGGATATGTTTGGGTCTGGTCAGAACTGTCAGTTCAGTTTTTTTTCTTAAAAGAAAAGAGTGACCTAAAAGGCAGTGTCCCCACTGACCATCTCTGGTTGTTGGCTGGCGAACTTTTTTTAGGGCTTTTGAGCTTATTTATTACATCTTAGATATCCTATTGAGGGAGATCACAGACAATTTTCTCCACAATGCACAGAAGGAAGACCCAACTGAGCCTTTGGTTCACTGTGTCTCTCAGTAATGAGTACAACATTGAACACGAAAATGAACTTCAATAGAGAGTGATCACAAATACTCATTGGAAAGACATTTCTTTATGGTAACTCCCTTGTAACATCAACCTATAACAACCACGAGGTGTGCCAGTATACTTAACTCTGACTAAGCCAGCCAATGATGATGCACACATGAGTAAAGTGAAATCAATACAATGTGAAATATTTACAAGCAGAAAACTAAATTAGAGAAATGTTCTTGCCACCTTTCATGTCCTCTGAGTCTTGTGTTAAATGGCATTGGAGTTAGGCAGGAAAATTGACCGTATGAGAAGTATCCCCTGTTTGTTTATGTAGCTCTTACAGACACCCCCCCCGTGCCTGCTGTATTATCAGCTGATGCTGGGTTTGGCAACTACAAAAGTTATAAAGCATTTATCATGCATGTCACCAGCGTTTTACATTTTACTTGTAATCTTTTGGGAATCACTAAAAAGAAAAAGAACAGAAGTGATACGCACTTTCACGAAGAGTGATATCCCATGGTTAAAATAGCATCTTCTGTTTATGAGATGCTGATTTGAGGGATAAATAATGTCAGAATACTGGGAATAATTCCCAATTTCTTTGAAATAATGCTGTGAGATATCTTATGTCGAACTGAAGGGACAGTCAAGACCTCATTTTAATGTCTCATCACATGCTGGCACACTCTCAATGCTTCACTTCCTCATACCTCAATCAGTGGTATTTGTGTTCCCTGATATTTGGGCACAAGTCCTGGAGTGGAACTTGTATTTACAAGCTCCTAACTTGGACAGAATAACTCCCCTGAACCCTGATTGATGTAATGCATTTACATTATGCAGTTGAAATGCACGAGTGCCCATTACAGTTTTCCAAAGTTCCAATGAAATAGATGTGACTTTCCCATCATTAACTTGCATTGCAACCTTTGGATGGTGTCCTATCTATTAGTCATTTCTACAGAGGTAAGATTAACAGCCATTGACAGTGGGCCACATTTGACCAAGTGTGGCATCAGGGAGCCCTAACAAAATTGGAATCAAAGGGGGTTGGAGCAAACTTCCTCTGGTTGGAGTCATTCCTGGCGAGTAGGAAGCTGGTTGTGGTTTTTGGAGGTCAGATATCTTAGCTCCGGGATATTTCTGTAGGAGTTCCTCAGGGTACTGTCCTGGACCCAACCATCTTCAGCTGCTTAATCAATGACCTTCCCTCTGTCATAAAGTCAGAAGCGTGGATGTTTATTGCACAGTGTAAAGGGGCATTCGCGACTACTCAGATATTGAAGCAGCCTGTGTTCAAATGCAACAAAACTTGGATAATGTTCAGGCTTGGGCTGACAAGTGGCCAATAACATTCATGCCACACGTGCTGGTCAATCTAACCACCACATCTTGACGTTCAATGGCATGACCATCTCTGAATACCCCAGTATCAACGTCCTGGGGGTTACCATTGACCAGAAACTCAACTGGACTCTCCTTATAAATACAGTGGCTACAAGAGCAGGTCAGAGATTAGAAATAATGCAGCAAGTAACTTACCTCCTGATTCCCTAAAACCTGTGCACATCCACAAGGCACTAGTTGGGAGTGTGATGGAATACTTCCCACTTGCCTGGTTGAGTGCAGCTCCAACAACACTCAAGAAGCTTGACACTTTTGAGCACAAAGTGGCCTTTTTGAGTAGCATCATATCCACTCCCTTCACTGCTCAGTAGCAGCAGTGTGTATCATCCATAAGATGCTCTGCAGAAATTCACCAAAGATCCTTAGACAACACCTTTCAAACCCACAACCACATCCATTTAGAAAGGGAGCAGCTATATGGGAACAAGACCAGCTACAAGTTTCTCTCCAAGCCACTCACTGTTGACGTGGAATTATATAGCTGTTCCTTCACTGCCATTGGGTCAAAATCCTGGAATTCCCTCCTTAAAGGGCATTGTGGGTGTACCTACAGCACATGGACTGCAGCAGTTTAAGAAGGCAGCTCACCACCACCTTCTCAAGGGCAACTAGGGTTGAGCAATAAAGCTGGCCCAACCTGCAACATCCATGTTCCTCAAGAAAATTTTAAAAAGTCTTATAACTGCCTATGTGTTGTCAGACTATTTGTTCATAATTATGTGCTTTACCAGTTCATCAATAAGATGTCAAAGTCATTATAGATTAGAAATTCTGCCCCTGTATTCCCTCACCATTTGTCATACAGAATCAGACAGCTGTAATTTTGGGCACCCTTTTTGACCCTGAAGTAAATTCTCAATGCCACACCCAATCTATCACTGCTTACTTCAGCTCTGAAACATTGCTAGCCTTTTTGTATTCCTTGATCTCTGTCACTGAAACCTTAATATGTGCCTTTGTCATTTTCAGGTTTAATTACATCCTGACTAAACCCTGACACTCACCCCTCATAAAGTTAACCAAAGATGTTGCATATACTTTTTCCCTCACTAAACACTGCACACACATTAATTGCATCCTCCTATTAATTCCCAGAGTATTTAACTCAAAATCCTTGACCTTGTCTGTATTCCGTCTATGATCTTGCCCTATCCTATCTTCAAATTCCCAAATTCCTCTTTCTCTTTACTCTTCACTCCTCCGTTGATGGCTCAAAACCAACAACTGCTTCAGGCTTTTTCTCTGGCATTACCTCCTTAAACTTCTCCACATCTCTCTTAGTCTCTGCTGTAAATTTTCGCCAGGCTAGATTAACTGATCTTTGTGGACTTCTGAAGAAGTGATTGGTAGTTTGTCTCCTCTGTTCGAAAAAGCTGAGAAAAGATTGAACAAAACCTTGTGTGGTAGCATACATGTTCATATTAATGTAAAATATTTGGAATAATATATAATACAGACAGTTTACAAAGTGATTGCCGTACTTGATCTTTGTGTTTAAATAATGTTTGATTTGATTTATTATTGTCACGTGTACCTAGGTACAGTGAAAAGTTTTTTTGTTTTGCGTGCAGTGCAGGCAGAACTGTGGATGGTATCCTGATCAAATGACTAAGAATTTCTGGGCCTTATAAAAGCCTTTTAATATTTTCTGTCTCCAGAAATGAATTGAATAATAGAACCTAGACAGGTATTTTTTAGAGTGATTATGCACAGGCGGTTATTTGGGTCATTGAAACCTTGGCAGCATGCTGTGGAGCAATCATGTCACACCCACTGATGACCCCCACTTCCCTGCCTGTCTGTCTGTCGCGCTCGCGCTCACACATGTGCGTACATACATACATACACACACAGCTGTGGCCGTATGTAATAATGATTATACAGTGTATGTGCATGATTGGAATCAATCAAGATAGGTTTTAAATGGCAGTCTAAAAAGTGAGCACGAGGCAGTTGAATGGTATTTATGGAGCACGTGCTAATGCATTCGCACCTGTTTTGTGACAATGGTTCCAATCAAACCATAGCCCATTTATACGCACTATTCAGAACTTGATCAGGTGAGATCCTCGCCCACAGTATAATTATAAAATGGTTTGACTTTTTCTATCCCATGACAAAGTAAGAATAATACCAGCAGGGCCAACAATTTGTTGTCCGTCCCTGAAGGTGGTGGTGAATAGCCTTTTTGAACAGCTGCACTCAATTTTGTCCAGGAATACCACAGCGATGCTGGAAAAATAGTTTCAGGATTTTGATCTCACGATAGTGAAGAACAGTGATATAGCTCCAAATCAAGATGGTAGAACTTAAAGACCAAAAAAAGCAATCACGTGACTGGGAATGTACTGTAGGCTCCTGACAGTCTGAGAGATATCAAAAAGCAGACGTGGTCAAATTTCAGAGGAATGTAAAAGTAGTGGGTAGTGATAGTATGGGATTTCAACTTAGAATTAAAGAATTCCCTCAGTGCAGATGGAAGCCAATTAACCCATAGCGTCTTCATGGGCTGTCCAAAGAGCATCCCAACCAGACCTATTCCCCAGCCCCGTAACCCCGCATTTACCGTGGTTAATCCGTCTAGCCTGCACATCCCTGGGACAATTTAGCATGGCCAGTCCACCTAACCTGCATGCCTTTGGAATGTGGGAGGAAACTGGCGCACCAGACATTGGGAGAATGTGCAAACTCCACACAGTTGCCTGAGGTTAGAATTGAACACTAGTTTTCAATTCCTCAGAGGCCATGGGAGAAGTGCCAGAGGACTGGAAGACACACAATGTGGTACCACTATTCAAGATGAGAGCAAGGGATAAACCAGGAAACTGCAGAACCATCAGTCTAACCTCTGGTGGGGAAACTATTGGAAGCAATTCTGAAGGACCGAATTAATCTGTACTTGAAGATGTGGAGATTAATGAAGAGCGGTTAGAATAGTTTAAGGTGCGGTCATGTCTGACCAACTTGATTGAAAAATTCAAAGAGGTAACCAGGTGTGTAAATGAGGGCAATGCATGCAGTGTAAACCACTTGGATTTTAGCAAGGCTTTCAATAATGTCCCCGTGGGATCCAAGGAGACTTGGCAAACAGGATACAGCATTGGCTGAGTGGCAGGAAGCAGAGGGTGATGTTTGAGTGTTTTTGTGACTGGAAGCCTGTGTCCAGTAGGGTTCTACAGTGTTGGGGCCTTCGCTGTTTGTGATTCATAAAAATAGTTTAGACTTGAATGTAGGAAGTTGCTCAGTAAGTTCTTGGATGATATGAAAGTTGGTAGGGTAGTAAATAGTAACCCTATTGCAGGTTGGTCTTGGATTACAGGAAGATAAAGACAGGCCGACCATAGCAAATGGAATTCAATCCAGGTAAGGGTGAGGTGATGCATTTGAGCAGGACAAACAAAGACGAAGGAATACGCATGAATGATAGGGCCCTGGGAAGCACCAAAGATGGGAGGGACCTTGGTGTGCATGTCCACTGGTCCCTTAAGGTAATGGGACAGGTAGACAGGTGCTTAAGAAGGCAAGTGGATACTGGCCTTTATTAGTGGAGGCATAGAGTTGAGAGGTAATGTTGGAACTGTATAAAAGATTGCCTGGACCACAGCGTGCAGTTCTAGAAGCCAAGTTATACGATTGCACTGGAGAGGATGCAAGGGAAACTTACCAGGATGTTACCTGGGCTGGAGAGTTTAATTATAAAGAGAGATTGGATAGACTGGGGTTGTTTTCCTTGGAGCAGAGGAGGGACAGGATTGAGATAATTCAAATTTTAAGGGACAAAGAGAAGTGGATGGGAAGAAATATCTCCCCTTGGTAGTAGGGTCAATGACAAGTGGGCATGGATTTAAGGTTAGGGGGTGGGAGGTTAGAAAGGATGTGAGGGAAACATTTCTCACCCAGCAGATGGTGGGAATTGAGAACTCGCTGCCTGAAAGAGTGGTAGAGTTATTTAGATGTGCACTTGCGATATCAAGGGCATTTAAGGCAAGGGCCAAGTGTCGGTAAATGGAATTAGAATGTAAAGTGATTGTTTTTGACCAGTACAAAGGGCCTTTTTTCTGTATTTGTAGGCTTTCTTTTGACTGTGTAGCTTGAAGGGGAACTGTCAAGCGATGATGCTGCAATGAAGTAGCTTTGCTGAATTACAGTGATCTTGTAGATGAGTGGAAAGGGTGAATGATGAAGGTGGAGAATAGGGTGCCAACTAAGCAAACTACTCTGTCCTAGATTGTGAGACAACAAGGTGCAGGGCTGGATGAACACAGCAGGCCAAGCAGCA